GTGTTAAACCACAGATGCTGCAGAGTTTGTCTGTTATAGCAACTAGCGTTACCTTGAGACCCTCTGGGAATCTGAACACGTTCGTGCTTCTGTGGGTCTAAGCAAATGTGTCTGTGTCCCTGGGGAACTAAGCCTACTGTGCCTGAGGGTCTCATCCCCGCATGCGGGGGCAATGCTGCAGGAGGGATGAACATGTGGGGTGAGTGCACAAGGCTGCCTCTGTGGGTCTGAGCACATATGGGCCTGTGTTAATCTGAGGACACAAGTGTATACGTGTGTGCCCTGGTGGGTCTGAACAGCTGCATATACTCACTTGAGTGTGAACACACTGGCATGCATGGTATGAGTCTGAGCATGAGTGCATGCCCAGCAGCTCTGAGGACATGTGTATGCCCTTCTGTTTGCTACTGCATGGGTGCCTCTGGGCACATAAGTGCACCCACAGCTGTGAGCACCTATGTGGGTCAATGGAGGCCTGAGCGAGTGTGTGTGTGTGTTTACCTCTGAGGGCCTGAGCACATGTACCTACATTTCTGTGGGTCTGAGCATGTGTGTGTGTGTTCATGCTTCTGAGTGTGAAACAACATATATGTTTCAGAAGGTGAGCATATGTGTATGTGTACACCGTTGTGGGACTAAGTACATGTTTCCATGCTTTGAGGGTCTGAGCATACGTGTGTGTGTGTGAGCACATCAGTGTACACATTAGTATGAGACTCTGGAGGTGTGAGCTAACGTGGGCTTCTGAGGGTCTCCTCTCATGGGAGCAGCATGGGAGGGGTGCAGGTCTATGAGGCTGAACAAATATGTGCATGTGTGTGGGCCTCTGGGGCCTAGCACACACAGCCTACCTCTGAGAATGTGTCCACACGCACATGGGGGCCTTAGTGCAATGTGCACCTTTGTGTGCAGGTGGGCATGCCTATGTGGGAATTGGCACACATGTTGGTGCATGAGTACATCCCCCTGCGGGTACATGTGTGCATCTTGGAGAATGTACCTGGGGGTATATAACCCATGTGCACCTCTGTGAGTAGTACATGTGTGTGCACATGCACACTTCGGTGAGTCTGAGTACATTGTGTACATGCCTGATCAGAATATGCATACATGTACCTGTGGTTCTGAAACATATGTGAGCACCAGTAAGTCTGAACATGTGTGTAGGATTCTATGGTGAGCACTTGTGTGAGTTTGTTACACAGGTACATCTGTACACATGTGTGTGTCTCTGCGAGCTGAGCACGGATGTGAAATTCCATGAGTCCAAGGACATATCACAAGGCATGTGCTTCAATGGGTCTGAGCATGCGTGCGCATGCGCTCAGGTCTGAACACACACATGTGCGTCCCGAGTGTCTACAATGTGTGTGTTATGCCGAACATCTGTCATGTACACCACAGATTTGAGCACATCTGAGTGTGCATCAGTGGGTTTGAACATGCAAGTATGTGTAGCTCTGAGCACACACAAGTACCTTGGGGGGTTTAAGAAACAAGATGTCTGAGTGTATGTGCTCCTTTGTGAGCACACGGGTAAGTGTGAACCTCTGGGGGCTGAGCAGGTGAGTACCTGTGAGCCCCTCTGTGGGTATTTTTGGAGCTCTAAGCATCCTGTGAAAGACTTCGTGGCTCTGACTAAATGTGCGTGCCTTCGTGAGGCTGTGCACTTGTGCAGGGGTTTGTGATTTTGTGGGTCTCAGAGAAGTGTATGTGGACTTCAGAGGGTCTGAGCACACATGTCTCTTTGGGTCTAAGCATGTGTGTACCTCTGCTGGTCTGGCCATGAATGGCATGTTGTCTTCTAGGTTTGAACATGTGAGTGGGTGTGGAAGTGGGCACATGTGAGCTTGCTGGTGGGTCTGTAAATGTGTGGGCATGGATGTATGTGTGCATGCCTCTGGTCAGAGCATATGTGTGTGCATACAGATGTTTGCCTCTGTGAGTCTGAGCCTGTGTGTGCTTTTCCTGTGTGTCTCAAAGGGTGCAAAGTCAGATCCCAACAGGGGCCAGGCGGGGAACACAATATGAGTGTCTGACCAACTGAGCCAACAAGAGATGGAGGGTCACATTACCAACTCTACGGTGCATGCTCCCTGAAAGGCACTCCATTCATTTTAAACAACACCATTCTTTGGCTGGGTTGCCAACCTCAGATAAGAGAACCATGTTAGATGATGGTCTCTCCAAGCGGGGGGAGGTATGGGACCTGGGTCTATGGAGGGGCCCAGGTTAGGGAAAAGGGTGGAAGGTGAGCAGGAATGATCCCAAGCCCCATACCTGGACCCAGGGATGAGCATCTGGAAGGTGAGAGGGTACCAACACCCTGGGTTCAGGCCCTAGGCAACCACTGTCTCCGTCCAGGCTGCCTCCACCTCTAACACTGACCTTGGAGCCACAGGAGTCCTGGTCCTCCACTAGAGAAGAGCCTCCTTGCACTGGGAGCCTAGGAGAGGTTCTGGCTGGAGAAGCTCTGCAGGGCATAGCATGGTCTACACCAGCCTGGGGGACCCTGGAGTCACTGTGGTCCCTGCCTGGCCTCCCAGCAGGATGATGAGGGTCCAACCTTAAGCCTCTCCAAGTGGTTTGAGTGTGGATATGTAAATACGTGTGTCTCAGGGCTGGGAGGAGGCTATGGATTCTGGCAGTGTCCTCTGGGGGCTCCAGTGTACACTCTGCTCTCCTTCCCAGCCTTATTTTTAAATCGGGTGCTGGGCCGGCCACCATCCCCTCCCCATCTCAGCTTCTGGTCCTCCTCCACATTCCAGCCTCCCGTCATATACTCAGCCCTTTTCACAGGATGGTCCAGCAGTAGGTGACCTCACAGAGCCTTGACTAGGGGTGGATGGAGAGCAGAGTAACAGACCCATCTACTTCAGCTCCTCCTCGCCCCTGTGTCCTAGTGCAGCCTAAAAGCTCAGACCACCAGTGTGCACACTCAGCGTCACACCCAGGCACCTGACTACAGTCCGAGCCAGGGCAGGGAGGCGGGAACCTCAGTGGACAGAGTGTGGCCCTGGTGGGGCCCAGTGTATGCTGCCTGTCCCTGCACGGTGACCATCAGTCCCTAGACGCCCCTCTGAAGGGTCCAGGGAGAGCAGGTACTCCTCCTGTCACCTGGGAGTTCCCATCCCAGAGTATGTGAACATGAGCACATGTGCAAACACATGTGATGTGGCCAAGCAGTGCCCTTTTCTCATGCCTCACACAGTCCTTTGTCCCCAGAGACCAGCCCAGGGAACCATTCATCAGAGCTACTTCCAGCAGCCTAGGCTAGAGGTGCTGTGTCAGCCTACAGGAGCCCCCAGTAATGCCGAGAGCTTAGAGGGGTGAGCTGAGAGGAGTGTTATGTGTTGGAGCTGCCAGATGACCAGAGCCTCCCAAAGCAATGGTGGGGTTGGAACATGTGTCCCTGAACTGAGATTGCCCAGCGAAGTAGAGGGACATCCCCCAGCAGAGGGCCCTCCCCACAGTAGAAGTCTTCTGTTCCAGAAAGCACAGTCCCTGGGCTGTGGAAGGGGAGGCTTTTCCACCCCAGAAGCTGGTGGCTCCACCCAGTGCCCCTGATCCCAGGACCATGGGAATGATTCCTCTCAGCTCTGGCCTATTGGGGGGACACAAAGAGCAATTGGCTTCAATCTCTGGGTCTCAGGGCCTGCACCCCAGAAATCCCTGTGCCCTTGGTCTTTGAACCTGAGCCTCTGCCCCAAGACTCCACAGTCCATACTTGGGACCTGTTCCCTTCTTGCTCTACCCACACTCTGTGCCTGCCCTCAGCATAAATGTCACCTTTGGCGCTGGTAGACACCTCCAGACCCACCCCCCAAGCCAGATTCACAAGATGTACCCAGGGCACACTGCCCACCTCCTGGCCACATCCATTCTCCTGACCCTGCAGGCACCTGCCCCAACCTTCAGCCTTCTGATACCAACAGCCCAGGTGCCACCCACTGCAAGGTAACAGGGAGAGAAGTCTTTGGGAACCCAAGCAGGAGATGTGGGTGCCCCTCCACTCCCACAGGCTCATCTGAACCACCATCAAGACCCATGCTTCCCCACTGGGAAATCTGGCCACATCTAGTCCTTTCTCCATTCCCGCCACCAGCCTCAAGTGCCCTGCCCTCCCCCCAGCTCCTGTCAGCCACCCCCAACCTGCTCAGCTGAGTGGCCCCAACACCCACTTGAGCCACTCCATACCCCACACTTCTGTCAGCACTCAAGGCTCACCCCTGCTTTGCCAGTCTGCCTGTGGCTGCACCCTTCAAGCAGAGGCCTGGAACCCATCCCCCCAGGGAGTTCTCCCTCCCAGCCCTCTCCCCCTACAGCAGCTCCCCTTCTAGAAATCTGGGCCAGACCTCAGGTCCCAGTTCCCGCACCGTACCACATGTCTGGTGTAGGGGGCACCTCTCACCCGGCCTGAGGGGCACACAGTTGCTGTGTAGTAACTGCCTTGCTTTGGCCTGGCAGGCCTGGCAGTGTCCACCCTGGGAACTCTTCAGACCAGAGCACCAGACACCTCCCTGATACGGGGGATGAGAAGGGTTCAGGATCAGCAGAAACTTTCTCTTCTAGGGACCAAGAGGGTGCCCGGTCTCAGGAGCAGATGGGAGTTGTAGTTCTGGACCCAAAAGCCAATGGGAGTTGTAGTTCCTAGGCCTGCATTATCCATGCCCCACCCCAAGGACTCATGGGAGCTGCAGTCACTCATCTTTCTAAGGAAAAGTCTTCCTCTTTCCTTCCCAGCACCCCTTGGCTCTCAACCTCAAGACCTTAGGCTAAGGACCTCACTACCTCTGAGGAGTGGAGCACCAAAAGGGCACCTTGCCATAGGGCATTTGAGGGACCTGGGGGGATGTTAGGAAGGGAGGGAGAACTATGGACGAAAGCTAAGGCCTGGCAGCAGGCCCTGGGGTTTTTGGGCCAGGTGGCAGGGACAGTCGCCCCCCTCCCAGAAGCCTCATGGCGGGCCCCGGGGCAGGGGAGGGGGGAAAGGCACTCACCAGTACTGGGCTCACACTCCTCCAGGTCCTCATCATCACTCGGACACTCTGCCGAGGCCACCAGGAGGTCATCTGTGTTCTGGGGGGCGAGAGGAGGGGTGGGAAGAAAGGGATCCCGGTGGGTCAGCAGACCCCACTGCCATCTCTTGAGGTGTGGACAGCACAGGGGACAGGGCCCTGGGATAAGACAGAAAACCCTGGTCCAAGCCCCAGCTCTCCCATCACTTGTGGGTGACCTTGGGCCTCTATTTCCTCCCACACAAGGGGAAACTTCACAGCGCCAGCCTTGCAGGCTCCCATGGCTTCCGAGGACCAATGAGACAGCACAGGTTGTGCTTTTCGCTTCTGGGAGGTGAGGAGACAGGATGCCAGACCTGGGGCTGCAGGGCTGGAGCCAAGGGGCCCAGGATGCCTTGGGGGCAGGGGCATGGGGAGATGAGGCACGGGGATTCCTTGGAGGCCAGCACAGGCAGAGAAGACAGGACCTGGAGGGGTTTCCTGACTCCATCTTCACCACCCCTCATCTCTCCCAACCCCCTTCCCGGAGCTGGAGAGAACCCGCTGCACACAATAATTAGGACTGTGGTTGCCTTGGCAACAAGAGTCGACTTTGTCAGCATTTTCTCTCCTCCTGATTGCAAAGAGAATCCCCAAGATGAGTGAGTGTAAGGGGTAAGGGGCTCTCAGGGGGTGTTAAGGAAGAGACCCAAGGAGGGAAACTCAAAGTTCAGGAAGGAAGGGAGCCCAAGAGACTAAGGAGCGGGGAGGACAGGGCTAGGCTGAAGGCCACAGACAGGAGGGGTGAAAGGGTCATATCCTGCCTCCTCCCAGCCCCTGATTTTCAGACAGAATGGTCCTCACCCAAGAGTAAGGTGGGGTCTGGAGGATCCATCTTCCTTCTTGCATTCTTGCCCGCTCCCTAGTGGGTGCTTCTCAACCACAGCAGTGACCTCTGGGTTCCCCACCCCTCTCTTCTACCTGGATGGTCTGCCCATCACTCTCCCACTGAGACTGGATAGTCTTTCTTCCCCTACAACTTGGAGAATACTGGGCATGGCCGGTACTCAGCCTTGGTAGAGTCCAGGCCTTTCTCCCAGGGCTCCCCACTCTCTAGGGGCAAGGCTCCACGCATTCAGATCCCCTGTTTCCTTGGTAGTGAAGGCAGAGGGGAAGGGGGCATAGGCTTGAGTCTTTCACCTATATGAGCCTAGCTAGCCTAGTCCCTGGCTCCCTGCAGCACAGACTGGCAGAAAGGAGGGGCATTGGAGCACAGGGAGCCCACCCCTCAGTTAGAGGGAGAAGCTGAAGCAGACTGGTGGTGAACATAGGGGCAGTCCTCATGGCCACCCCAGATCCCTCCCTCACCCCAGGGGGACAGAGGTCTCTACAGTCCTAGAGGCCCAACAGCCACAGGAGGTGAGATCTGGAGACGGGGACAGGAGAAGCACGGGGGTGGATGGCCAAGCAGGGTGTGAGCCCTCTCTGGGCCAACACTCAGAGAAGGCATTGGGGCAATAGCTACAAAACTTGGCCCAGACCCCGGGCTGCTTCGGTAAGTCACACAAGCTCAGTTGGCTTGAGCCCTCTCTGGGCCAACACTCAGAGAAGGCATTGGGGCAATAGCTACAAAACTTGGCCCAGACCCCGGGCTGCTTCGGTAAGTCACACAAGCTCAGTTGGCTTGAGCCCTCTCTGGGCCAACACTCAGAGAAGGCATTGGGGCAATAGCTACAAAACTTGGCCCAGACCCCGGGCTGCTTCGGTAAGTCACACAAGCTCAGCTGGCTTTGGCCACCAGGAAAGACAAACCCATCCTACCCCAACAGAGCTTCATTGCCCAGTTGTAGGACCCTCTGGTCTGCCCCTACCACTTGGACTTGACCTGACCCAGGGAGTACCTGAGCAGGGGGGTGAGCACTAGGCGAGTTGGCTTTGGCCACCAGGAAAGACAAACCCATCCTGCCCCAACAGAGCTTCATTGCCCAGTTGTAGGACCCTCTGGTCTGCCTCTACCACTTGGACTTGACCTGACCCAGGGAGTACCTGAGCAGGGGGGTGAGCACTAGGCGAGGGCAAAGCACTGGAACTGTCTGCATCAACGTTCTCCTCTGACCCACAGACACCAAAGACACTGAGGCCCACTGAGCAGTGGGCATGCTCAAGATCGACAGAGAGGACTTGTGAAGGCAACCGACTTGCAACCAGGGCCTTTCCCACTGCAGGGATTCCAGCCAACAAGGAGAGGCTGCTCCTGGCCTCCCCCAGCCTCTGGAAAGGGGTTGCCTGCATCTGGCCCCTCTGGCACTGTCACTTCTGCCCAGAGCATTACATCCTGGTACCACACACCCCCCACTCACTGCCCACTACATCACTGAGCATGGCCTTCACTAGGGTGTGAGAGCAGAAGGGGTCATCCCACCCCTACCCAATCCAGACTTCTTCTTTCTTAGGTGGGGTGGTCTTCCCAGGCCTAGCTGGAATACCAAATTCCCCCTCAACTCAGAATGGTCCCTCTAGAAATAGTGGCCACCCCCACATCCATAATAATCCACAATAGCAGCTTCCTGAAAGCTGACCTTGCCTGCCTCACCTGAACCATCACTGTGACAACAAGGTCAGGGACAGTGGCCTCCAGGCTCCCATCAGACCCCTTGGACCCTCACCTGGGCACCACGGTTGCTATGCAGACATCACCTCTATCTGCCACCCAAATCCCCACCCTTGTCTGCAGGCCAAAGGGGGCCTCACCTGGGTGGTGCTGTCCCTCAGCGTGGGGGAGCGGCCCCGGCGCGTGGTGGTTGTGGCCATGGTGGTGGTGGTCTCCATAATGGTGGTGGCCATGTCGGCCAGCAGGGTGGTGGCCGTGGTCTCCGCACTAAGCAGCACGGACGGCCCCTCCCCCACCAGGCGCAGGTGGCCCTCAGTCCGCACATTGGGGTCGCTCTCGGCGGCCAGCGCCAGCACCTTGAGCCCATTGTAGTAGAGGCCGGACACCTGGCCCTGGAAGGGGCGGCCCTGATCCCGGCCTCCGATCTTGATGGCGGCTTGGCTGTTGAAGATGGTCAGCTGGCGGCCTGGGGGGAAGGGAACAGGTAGGGTAGGGGGTGACAGACAGAGAAGGGGCAGGCAGTGGGGGAAGAATGGAGGGGAGCCAAGGGGAAGAGAGCAATGAGGAGAAACCAGCAAGTGGTGGGGGGAGGTGAGGAAGGGGCGGACAACCAGAGGGAAAGTCCTTGTCAGCCACAGCCCCTAGCCCAGCCAGGTGGGGTCCCCAGAAGGGGGGGGTCCCCAAAGCACACATGGGCTGGGGAAAGGGAGCCCTATCTTCCCCCTCTCCCCACCATGCACATGCCTTCTCCACCTTCCCCTTTCCCCCTCTCCTCTCCAGGGCCATCACCCTCTTCTTCCTCTTCCCTTAATTCAGTCCCCATCTTCTCCTTCTGCTTCCCCCAACCCCAGTATCTGGCCCCAAGCCATGGAGCCATGGAGCCCTGGAAGTGGCACATACAGGAGACACAGAGGCAGAGACAGAAGGGGTGGCATCCAAGCCGAGGTGGAGCCGGTGCATGTGAGAGCAGAGGAGGCGAGAGCGAGGGGCAGACAGTGTGTGGAGCAGCCATGCAGGCCTGCAGCCTGCTCCCGGCTGGCTTCCTGCCCATGCCCCCACCCGGGCCCTCTGCCCCCTGGCCAGGCTCTCCTCACTCCTCCTCCCCTGCCAAGGCCCAGCCACTGCCCAGGACCAGGCCCTGGAAAGCTGAGCCCTTCCTCCCCACCTGGTGTGCAAGCACAGAAATGGAAAATGTTAAAGGGACCTTGCTTCGCTCACTGACAGCCGAAAAAAAACCACTCCAGCTCCAATCTCACTCCACACTCAGCAGTATTACACCTCAGAATTCCCACCTGGGTGAGGTTTGGCTGTTCTGTTTGGTTTTAGTGGATCTGGGGGTCAGTTTAACCCTCTGAGTTTGTTGTTTTGGTTTGGTTTTTAGAAAAGATATTTATTATGTTTAAGTTTAGATTTAACTGTGGTTTTGGTGCTGCTTATTTTGGGGGGGAGGTGTTGGGCAGAGGGACTAGTACATTGCCCCTTTCTCCCCAGACCTTCAGCTGTTAGCGCTGGGGGGGTTAGACCTGGCTTAGCCCTTATTAGCCTCTGGTTAGTGCCTCGTTAAAGATCTGGTTTAGAGTTAGGTGCCTATAAGCCTGCCCCAAAACCTGGGCTGAGGATAGTCCAACTTGTGAAACCCACATCCTCTTTGGAAACACAAGTTCTCTGGGATACCCAGGCCTCTGGGACACCCAACCATCTGTCTAGCCTCTGGCCAATGATTGGCCACTGGTCATCCTCTCCTCCTCCTCCAGCACTTTCCCACTGCCCACTTTGAGCTGGGACAGATGGGGGAGCCAGAGCCCACAGAGGTGGAGGACCAGTGGCAGCAGCTCTGAGATAGACCCTGAAATACCAGACTCAGAGAGGTCCATGAGGACCACTGTGTCTGACTCTATTCTTGATCATAAGAATTATGAGAAAAACAAAGGAGAGAAGGGTCACAGTGGTCAAGTGAATTAGGGAAGGAAATATTTCACAATTAAACAGGTTTTTTTCTCACAGGACTTCTCAAAGCCTTTATTAGACTACTGTACATGTGTATCTCCAAGAAGAAAAACCAGGATTCAGCACTTCCCAAACTCATTTTACCACAAATCTCTTCATTGTAAGGCATGTCGTGGGACTGTTTCACGGGACACATTTTGGAACTGGAAAATGGATTCATTCAATAAATTTTTATTGAGCACCTATCACACACCAGGCACTGGCAATAAAATATTCCCTCTAAGAATGCCCAGACCTTGTTCTCGAACACTCTCCTGCTCCTTATTTCATCCATCCTCTCAGCATGCCTGTGAGCCGGATTGAGCAAGGATCACTGTCCCTGTCTTATTGAGGAGGGAGCTGAGGCTCAAAAAGGGGAAGAATTTAACCAAGCCCACACAAAAAGTGAGACTACACTTTGGGAAACTCAATCCATCATTTTCTACAAGAGGAAATATGGGCCTAAGGAGAAGATGTAGATGTACAGCTGGCGAAGGACAGCTGGGGTTCCAGATCACAAGCCTGAGCTCTCCCCTCATCTACGCCACAGGCCCCACCCCCTCCCCCCAACAGGGCCTGTCCAGCTCTCCCTACCCTTGGTATCACAAGTTGTCCCAGCCTCAGCCCAGGTTGCTCCCTTGGCCTCTCTGATTCTGGGAGAGGGAGGTGGGTAATGGAGAGGAAGCCACATAGTGTTAGAAAACTTCATCCTTGTGGCCCCCACCCCTGCCCCCACCGCCATGAACTCCTCAAAGGGTTAAAGTTCACCCCGCTGGAGAGAGCAGCCCAGTGTGGCTGGGGGCTGTAGGTTTTAGCGATGTCTATTACAGTCCCTTTAACTTTTTGTCCTGTTATAGATTTATCACATCTGGTTATCAGCATGTTTAGGCCCCGCTGGTGTGGGGGGGCTGGAAGTTACATTTGGGGATTTTAGTTGGGGAAGGCCCCAGTGGACATTTAAAAGCACAGTTATCAGCTGGTTAAATGGAGATTTAACAGTTCTACTTCCCCCTTAGAGTTTAGCCTTAGAGGTACAGAGCTCGTCCCCCCTCCAAAGGGAATGGAATGGCTTTGCCCTTGGCCCCCAACTTCCCTTGGTGACAAGAAGCTTTCTCCCTCACACCCAGGAGCACCTCATCACATGCAGGCCTCATAGGGAGTCCACTCTGTCTTCCTCATCACCCCAGCAGGCACAGAAATCCCTGCAGGAGCACCACCTCCTCTCCCGTCTCCCTTAGTCTCTCCTCAACCTCCACCACTTCTAAGAGGCCTTCTGGACCAAGGTGGGACCATTCCAGAGACAGCAGCCCCATAGGCACTCTCTCTAGGGGTCTCTCCAGCAGGATCTGAGGCCCCCACTCTTCCCTTTTCTTCTCAGATGGCCTTAGTAAATGCTTTGTAACCCTCCTTTGGATCTTTGGGTTGACCCTTTGTGCTTCAGAAAGCTTCCCTGCCTCTAAGTGCCCTGTGACCCTCAGCAGGCCCTTTACAAAACCCCTGAAATGAATCCTGGGAAGAGGAAGTCTACCTACCAGCCTGCATCCTCAGCCTGCTTGTGATTTAGCAGCTTGGCAGGAACAGGGGAGCTCCCATGGTCCGGGATTTTGTGGATCACCCTAGTCTGATCCCAGGTTTAGGAGAACAAGTACTCCCCCTCTTCTAGAAAAATCCCCGCTGCTGCCCAAAAACCACCACTCTGAAATATACAGACCCTTGACCACAAAGGGAAAGAGAACATACTGGATGGACAATCGTCCCTTCACTTGGTGGTGGTGCTGGCAAAGACATGGAGGGGGAAACAGAGAGCTCTGCACCTTTAAGATAGTGTTTTTAAAGTTAATTAATTAATTAATTCTGGTTAATTACCTTTGTCGAGCAGCCACTCATCTACTACTCGACCAAGCCGGTAGGGGATTCTCTGTCTAGCAATCGCCAGGCGCTCGTTATCAAAGTTTCCTTGGAAAAGTTTAGAAAGACAGTAGGTTTCTCAGGCGGCGAAGTCCAAAGGAGTTAAAAAAATAATTATGCATTTCTCAGGAGACTCAGAGTAAGCAGCAACATCCAACGGAAAGACGGAAAGATGGAGAGGCAGGAAAAGAAATGCTGGGTCCCTCTTCTCCCCTGGTCCCCTCCCTAGGCTCCAGTCCAGAGCCAGCCCTACCCTGGGGGCAGGAGCAACTCAAAGAAAAAGAGGGAAAAAAGAAGAAAAGGAAAGGGACATGAAAGAAAAGGTGGCTGGAAGGTCAAAGGTCAGAGGTTAAACAGGTTTATCTGTGGTCAAGCTGTTGAGGCCCCATTTCTTCCCCATCCCAAAGTGGGGCTGTGGGGTGGGGGAAGGGCATTTATCAGGTTTAAGTTGGGGGGTACGAGGCATCAGTGGCCCAGCTGGTTACTGCATTTAGAGGGCAGTTTAGAAGTGGGAGGGACAGGTTAAGCAGGGTTTATGCGGCATTTAGAGGGTCACCCGGCACACGCATGTAACAGTTAGATTTAAACCACTTCTCCAAGTTATCTCAACAACTCTCTTTGCCTTCCATGCTCAACTCCCAACTTTGCCCTCCTTCCCCACCTCACACCACACCCCTAATCCCACCACTGCACTCCCTGAAAGGCGCTTTCAGCCTCCTCATCTTGGTCATAGCTCCTTTTCCACCTGACAGCCACAACAGATGACATCACTGGCTAGTGCATGATATGTGAGCTGGATCATCACCCAGCAGCGCCCCCCTCCCTTGCACTTTTCCCTTCTTTCCAACTCTCTCGTGGCCATCTCACCTCCTCTTCCACCCCTTTCTCCTCCCCTGCAGGCATCCCCCAGCCCCCTTCGGCTCCCTCCTGGCCCTAGCCTTCGCCTGGCTCTCTCCCCACTCTCAGTTCCATGTCAAGTTCCTCAGGCCCCTCTCTGCTCAGAGCCAGGTTCCCTCTCCTTTCTGCCCTCAGGACCTGGACCCAGCTCCTGACCCTCAGCCTTTACTACCTCAGTCTCCCCCCCCCAATTCTTACCCCCACCCCTCTTCTCCATCCTCATCTGGATACACCCCTGTTCCCCTCTCCACTCCCAATCTCCAGGCCCTGGGCGAGTGCATGTGCGTATGTGTGTGTCTGTGTGTCTGTGTCCTCAGAGGAGAAGAATGTACATCTGTCACATTGTACAGAGGCTGAGTATATAAAGATTCTAACAGAAGCCCTATTTATCAAGAACCTCCACTATGTCATGCCATTTTAGCACTTTCCTTAGGTTATTTCATGAAATTCTCACAGTATCACCATGAAGTAAGTATCATCCCCACCTTCCAGAGGGGGAAACTGATTCAGAGAGGCTAGATGACTTGCCCAAGGTCCCACACAACTTGTCAGTAGGAGATCCAGGATTAAAATCTAGGTCCTGCTGACTCAGAATCCATAGGCTATGTCTCTGTGCTCCCTGAGAGTTAGAGGAGTCCCACTCTCTGGGCCCATGCACACTGCTGACCTGGCCTGCTGGTGTTGCTCATGATCTGCCCTTAAAATACACACAGGCAGCCATCATGCTTTTGGGTTACCCCACTTTGCAGGCCAGGGATACCTGAGCAGAACAGACTCCTCACACCTGGCCTCTGGCCTGCTGGGCTCCAAGGGGACAAGCTCTGGACCCAAGTTCTGGCTTAACATGGTGAGGCTTTTATGCCCCCCATTTCCAGCCCTGTCCATCACAGGCAATGTCATCACTGCTACAAAGGTTGCCCTGTTGTGTATGCATCTGAGAGAGAGAGAGGTCTGCCCACAAGGCAATCATGCCCACACAACCCTGGCTGTCAGTGGCTGCTTGTGGCAGGGAGGAGGCAGGGAACTTAGAACAGGAGGGTTATTGTGTCTGAGTAACTCCACACATGCCTTGGGGCCTTGGCATAGCCTGGCATGCTTCTGCAGAGCTGTTTTCTCTTGTGTCTTTCTGACCCTATGAGTGTCTGCAGTTGTCCGTGTATGGGGGGTTGGCCTGTGTGTACATCAGCCTCTGTATGCATTAGGGAATTGTGTGACCTCTTTATCTCCAGGGACTGCCCAAAACTGTCTGGGTGCCAGCCTCTGCATGATTGGGAATCGTGGAATACTGGCATTTTTATTCCAGCATGGGTGAGCCCATGACGGTTTGCCACTGTCCTTCCACCTACACCCTTGCAGTCAGCGTGGGGCAGCTTCTCTACCTCTGCCTGGCTGTCTCTGCCTAGGAGAACAACGGAGGTCACCAGATGCTCACTCTGTTTTTCAATCAGACCCCGTGTGTGACTACAGTGTCGCTCAGCCTGTATCTCAGCATCTCTGTGTTTCTGCAGTCCTCCCTGTGGTGTTTCTATTTCTCTTCCCTCTTTATCTCCCATGGTGGGACTCTCCTCTGCTCCCTCCCAAGGCTCCGTCCACCTCAGCTCCCTCTGGCTGGGGCTGCATGTCGGCATCTCCATATATCTCTCCGCATCTCTCCTGGAGCTGCCTCCCTCTTTGCATATGTCTCAGTGACTATTTTCGTATCTCTCCATCGCTCCTCCTCTCACTCTGAGGCTGTCTCTGCCTCCCTCAGTATCTTGCAGGGTCTATGCCTCCTCATTTCTTTCATGTCCTCATCCCGTCCCTCCCCTGCACTCCTCAGACCTTGGTTTGTCCTTGGCCACCACAGCTGTCACCCTCTGCAAGCAAGGGACGCTCACCTATGCATCCCAGGGCCTAGCACAGGCCCTGATACCTAGTAGGTTGTCAGTGAAAGCTGTTGAATGTATTTGGCCCTATTTTTCAGTCTTGTCACCTATCTCTCCCTCCCTTTCACTATGTCCCTTACTCCCTGAGACACTGGGGTTCCTTTCCTCTGGGTTTGATGGTTACTTCTCTTTCTTTATCTAGATTTTTTAATATAAGTCCTTGACCCGTTCTTTTTAAAGACCTCGGTTCTGTCCTTGGGAACAGCTCTGCCTCCCCGCCAAGATGTGCTTTATGTTATTTCTCCTAGGTTTCTACATCTGCCTCCCCATTTCTGCTGTCCCTCATTTCTAAACTAACTCCTCCTTTCCTCAATCGCGTCAGACTCTGCCTCTTCTCCGCTCACCCCCGAACTGGACCCTGGCCTTGCAGACTTCCCCACTCAACCCGACACCCTCCCCCACTAGCCAATGGAGTCCCAGCACCACAGTCTCGCCCCGCCTCGCCTCGCCAATCCCGACTTTTCTCTTAGCCACGCCCCCGCCCTGGTCCCGCCCCTGCAAGCCGCGCCTTTCCCGTAGCCCCACCCCGACCCACAGCCGGAAGCCTCCGCCTAGCCCTGCCCCAGTACGGACAGCGCTCCTATCAGAGGCCGCCAGCCGCCCGCCCCGCCCCGCCGCCTCCTCCGCCGGCCCTCGCCGCTTACCTGCCGGGTACCGCTCGTTGACCGGCCAGCTGTCCACCTGCAGGGTGGCGTTGCCGCCGCTTCGAGTGAAGCGCACCACGTGGTATTTGCCGTCGCTCACAATGGCGTTGGGCTCATCAATAGTAATGTCATCCGTGCCCACGTTAAAGATCACCCCCACCGTGCCCTGGTCCTGGGGACAGGGAGGGAGAGGTCAGCGACCAGGAGAAAGCGACCATTCACTCCTTCTAGAGCTCCACCTGTGGCCACCACCGGCCCAGCCCCACGGCACTTTACAGCTTTACGACGCACCCTTCTTGGGTCTCAACCGCCCAAGGAGGTGGGCAGGCATGTCCCCCTCCCCCATATGCAGCAAGGGAGTAACCTAAGGCTCAGTGGTTGGGGCAGCCACCATGGGATGCAGAGCCTGCACTTGGAGCCTCTTCCACTAACCACATCTACCTCTTGCCTTTGGTTTATCCAGAATATTCACAAATATTTACAGAGCACCTACTCTGTGCAAGCACCACTGAGCCCAGACAGGGATGATGAGGACCAAGCTGGGGACCAGCCCAGCGCATGGAGGGCAGAGGCCTCCCTAAGGCACGACCAACAGAGAAGTCCACAGAAGCCAGCCTCTGCCTGAGGAAGATCTGACCCCTGAGCCTTCCCAACCCCCAGCTTCCCAACCCCCAGCTTCCAGCCTCTCCTGCATGCTCAGCACCTCACAGGCCCTGGGGGCCCTACACCGGGCCATCAGCATGCCTCTCCTGGCAACCTCTCAGGCATAAAGTAGGTCAGGTTCTGAGTGTGAGGGCGGCCCCTCTGCAGTCATGGGGGTGGCCCCCAGACTGTGTGTTTTTGGGGGTGACTGGCATGGAAGAGATGAGGGACAAACTATGCTGGACTTATTAAAAAAAGGTGAACACAGGGTTGTTGGGGTATGGGATGGGCTGGAGGCTGGCGAGGGACAGGCAGAGGACAGACAGGAACTGAGTTCTGGAGAAGGACAGCAAAGAGCTGGAGCAACCTCTGGGTGTGGGGGCACCCAGAGGTGGCCACCCAGAATCCTACAGAGGCCACCCAGGATCCAGCCCAGGAAGAATTCTGCCAGTGGTGCTGAAGTGAGAGGGAGAGCTTCACTGAACTTCTACAACATGCCAGAACCGGTGTGAGTACTGTATGCACATGGTGTGTTCATTCCCACAGCAACCCTTTGAGGACACTCACAGCACCCCATTTTATCAAGGAGGAAACAGGCTCACAGAGGTTAAGTAATATCTCAAAATCTCACAGCTCATTAGAGGGGAACCCCAGATTTGAACCCCAGCTAGCCTGACTCCCAAGCCAGGGCTCTCTCCCCCTTGCCCACTAGTCTGAAAAACACTAATTCAAAGAACTGGGGGTGGGGGGTGATCTGAGAGGTCACTGAGGTCAACCTGGTTTCGAGACCACAGGTGTCTAACCAAGCCAGTGGAAGGCCCACTGGACCCTAAGCCTGAGCCCCTGTTCCATTCCCTTGCACTACCCAGCAGCGATCCCAAACACAACCCCTGAGTCTGTCCAGCCCTCCTCCCATGCAAGACAGACACTCCCACAGGCTCACTCAGGCCCCCCAGATCACACATACTCATGGGGACCCAGCCCATTACAGAAATACACTACACTCCTGGAGTCTTCCTGAAAGACTGCCCCAGTCCTGCCTGGGCATGAGAAACTATTCAGCTGCTACCTCCTGCATCTAACAGAGCTGAGAGGCTTGGTGGCACTGAGGGTAGGGATGGGGGTGGCTCACAGACAGGGCAGGGGTTGGGGTCTGGCAGAGAAAGTTGAGGAGCAGGGTGTGCAGCTGTGGCTCACTTGGAGACCCATGCCCTATCCCTTCTCCATTTGTGGGGTCAGGTCTCCCCCTCCTAGAACCTGGGAGAGACACCCACACACATGCATGCATGCTCGTGCGTGCGCACGCACACACACACACATGCAGCATCTCTCAGATTCAGTAAAGCAGGGAAACTGAGGTTGGGCTTGCCTAACAAAGAGTATTAGCAAGCCCCACCCATCCACCACCCACAGACTGACAACATCCCCAGGGAGATGGGCTAATCATCTGCTCCCTGCTCACGTGAAGGGAACAGCCGATCCTCCTCGTTACTATTGTTAGTAATAATATCACCCAGAATAGCATCAGCCCCTTGTATGCCTCCAAGGGCTTCTCCTCAGAGACTCAGCCCAAGCAGTGATGGCGGTCAAGGAGCACCTGCAGTCTGGGGACTGGGCAGGCAGAGGGCTGGCCCCGGGAGCTGGAAGGCAGGACACCTGGGTTTCCTAGGAGGCAGCCAAGCTCAGAGCTGTGCACTCCGGGGGAGAGGCAGCTCCCCGGAGCTGCTCCCGATGTGAAGTCAGTTGTCACTTCTGTTAAAGTCATTAATTCCTAATTCCCCAATTACCTCATTAGGCGGCGGTGGGGAGAACGTGGCCGCTCCTACAGCAAATAATTATGGGAGTCAAAATTAATTTGGCAAAGTGGAGCGACGCTTTATTAGAAACGTCAAATTGCTTTTCTCTTATTTTGCTGCCGCCTCCCTACTCTCTGAGAGCCGTTAATGACGCTGTGGTGGGAGCTGATGCGTCACCAGGGGAGGAGGGGGTTTGGGGGCTGCCCACATAGGGCTTCAGCCCATCTGGTGCCCAACATTCCCCTCAGAGCTGACCTGTCTCATGGCTCCCCCACCCTTGCCAGGCTCCCCCCGCCCCCCAGCGCCAGGCCTCCCCCTCCTCCCACCCTCTGCAGTACCCAGGCTCCAGTCCTGGTTCCTCTGTAGCCCTGCATCAGGTGAGGCCTGTGACCAACTACTGAGAGGGAAAAGGGGGAGATCCCTTCTTCAGGCACCCTGATACCCCTACACTTTCTCCTCAGCACTGGGAGACCCCTGTCCCCTAAACCAGCAGGCACACAGACACAGCACACACAGACACTGTCTACTGTGCCAATCACAGATGATCAGGATACTTGCTAACACTGAGTGCTTCCTATAGGCGGGGTAATATCCTAAGTGCTTTACATCCTTCATCTCATTGGAACCTCACAACATCCCTCAGTCCTAGTATTATGCCACTACACAGATGAGGCCACAGAGGCCCAGAGAGCTGCGGTGATTTGCACAAAGATAGAGCAAGGAGGTGGCAGAATTGGGATTCAAACCCAAACCATCTGTTCCAAAGCCACACATAGCCTTACATGACAGTGAAGAGAGAGGAGCAACAGGCCTCACTCACAGAGGACACAGGGAAACAGTCACACCCTGCCACTCAAATGGGTGGCTGAAACAACAGCAAACACCGTTCCACAGGCTAATACAAATATATAGCTACACACTTGATCAGAGACTATGACACCCAGTCTCTCTTCGTCACTCACAGTCCCAGCCATCAATCCCAACACACAATCATCATGCACCCAGTCCCACACTGTCATCCACAGCCACGCCATCTCTCACATACAAGCCACCACCCACAGCTCTGCCCCCCTTCCCTGACTGGCCTCGTGTGCCCAGCACCCATCAGCTGCTACTTCCACCCCTGCTCTGCTCTGCCTATGGGATGTCTCCCCTCATGCCTCCTTCTTTCACACCCTGGTATTGGCAGACAGAGGTACAGACCTGGGATGCTGAAAAGCTATTGTGTAAGGAGGGGCCAGGTTCCCAAGCAGATGGGGAGGAGTCAGCGCCCAAATAAACAAGACTTCTCCTCTGGCTTCCTCTCCCCCCTTCCAATTCTGCCCTCCTGAAAGCCAGGGATCCCCACCAGACCTTTCCAGCACAGAGAGGCTGCCAGTCTGCTCAGCCCTCACAGCTCAGGGGTCCTGGCCTGGGAAGAATGTGGGATGCAGGCAGGGAAACAAGGCAGCTGGAAGGGGCTAGAAATGTAGAGATAGAGACCAAAGACTGTGGGGAGGGTTCAGGGGAGAAGCTGAGACCAGAAATGAAATGGAGCAAGGCCAGAGGCCATAGGGAAGGTTGTGGAGCAGGACCAGAGATGGGGGAAAGGGCCAGGAAAGAAAAGGGGTGGCCTGCAGACTAGAGGTAGACAGGATGAAAAGCCACAGATATGGCGGGAGGTGCACAGGGAGGCCCTGGGAAGGACCAGAGGTCAAGGAGGGGAGTGGGCAGGGAAAGGCAGAGCTGGGTGGGACCAGAGATCAGGGTGGGGATGTGGGGCTGGGCTAGTGAGGAGTGAGTGTGGCCAGAGAAGATACAGGGGAGGCAGGGTAAGGGGACTGCTGGAAGGGCAAAGGTCATGGGAGCAGTCAAGGGCAGAGCAAAGGCAGGAGCAGGATCTGGAGCAAGGTGAAGAAGTAAGGGTGGGCTGCCCTGAGGCAGGAGGTCTGAAGGAGGGGGCAAGAATAGGTGCAGGACACAGTGGGCTGCCCTAAAAGGTTAGGAATGAGCAAGGCAGCAGCCCAGGGGCAGTCACAAATGTGGGGACATTTCTGAAGGCTGCAAGAGAATGGTCTGGAAGGCCCAAGGAGGCTTTTGGCTATGTTCAGGAAGGTCATAAGGCACAGATGGTCTCAAAGAGTGGGGAACTGGGGATATTCAAATCAGATGGGGTGGCTCTGGCACTCTTGGTGAATAACTGGGAGGGGAAATGGGTCTCAGAAGCAGAACTTCTTAGCAGAAAGCTTCAGGGATAAGGGAACAGAGGTTCTGAGGGCTCCTCATGAGGGAAAGACTTGAGGTGCTGATCCCATGGCAATGAGGGACCCAGCAGATTTGGGGTGGGGAAGGCTGGGAGTCAAAGGGCCGGAGCCCTGAGTCCTTACAATGTGCAGCTGCAGATAGTCTCCAAGGCCAGAGGCGCTGTCCACCCGCACCAGCACAGCGCTCCGCTGGTGGGTGCTGAAGCCCACGGCCAGGCGGTCCATCCTCGTGCTGGGCCGGTCATTGGGGGGCCACGTGTAGGTGATGAGAGCTCCCCCCTTCCCAAAGATGTATGTGGTCCCAGCTGCAAAGAGAAGGAAAGGGAGAGAGGAAGAAATGACATCAGGAGGGCGAGATCGGTGGATCCTCAGGGTTGTGACCAGAGCACCAGGACATCAGGTTTAGGGTGTGGGGCTTCAGCTGTGATCCCCACAGCCGCCACCAGCCCTGCAATCCTAGGGAACAGTTGGCAGGCAGGTGCCTGGGTCAGAGCCTGTGCACACACACAGACAGATACAGCTGCCTCATCAAGAAACCTAGCTTTAATTACAGCAAAACAGAGAGGTAATAGAGTGACAGAGAGAGAGAGTCCAGAGAGAGGCTGCAAGGAGACGAAGAAGACAAGAAGTGCCATAGGCACAAAGGGCCCAGGGGGTCTGTTCCTGACCAGCTCGACTTCTCCCAGGGCTGGCAGAGGTGACAGACTCAAGGTGTGTGCTTCTTGGGGCCAGAGCTGAGGGGGCACCAAGGCAAAAAGAAGCCCCAGGCAATAGGGAGAAGATAAGCAGAGCTATGTGCAGCTCTGACTTAGGCCCATAGCTGGGGCCCCTCCAACATCTGCCCCTCAGCCCCCTCCCCAACCCCTGGAAATCCTCCTGGTTTGCCCAGGACTCCCTGCTTCCACCCCCAACCAGGGGGCTGCCTGAGACCCAAAGCAGGAAGGTCCTGGAGCTCTGCCCAGTAAGAAAGAGACTGACATGGGGAGGGCGGGAGGGGAGATTGGCAGCCAGAGGAGGAAGGAGGCAGAGAGACAGATGGACAGAGAGGGGCAGAGAGGGGTGTAGGTGAGAGAAACGGGCGAGTGGGGGACCTGCCCTCCCCCACTCCACCCTCTCTCCCCTTCCTCTCCTCTTCACCAGCCGGCTGCTGGGGGCGGGTGTGAGGTCCCTAACGATCTCAGCCCCAAAATAAACCCCATTAGTCGCCATGTTCTCTCCTGCGGCTGACTGAGCTCTCTGGAGGTGGGGGTGGGGGGCTGGTCACCCAGTTTCTGGGAAGGGAGACTTGTCTAGGAGGCATGAAGGTCTAGTACTCTGGGGCCTGCAGAGAAAGGAAGGGAAGAGAACAATCTTGCATTCCTTAGAACATAAATGGAGCAGATGAGATTCATAAAATGCTTAATTAAATAATTAGCCACTAACGACTCCTCTCAAAGCACTTCTTGGGGAGAGAGGGGTTCAAGGGAGGACTTAACCAGAGAGAAAGAGAGAGGCACATGGGGCCTGAGGGCAAAAGCATGAAGTAAGCTGGGAGAAAAGTGTGGCCTTGGGGTGGGAGAGCTCTGGGCTGGGATGGAAGCCCTGGGGTCAGGAGCTGGGAGCCTGGGGTACAGGACCGCCTTTGGAAAGGAGCAAGCCTGCTCAGCCAAGATGGTGACCCAGCAGGTTACATGAGGCCTGGTACCCTCAAGGACCTCGGGGTCTCTCAGCTCAGGGACTCAGGAGCCCCCTTGTAGTTCAGGCAATCAGGGATAAGGGGGCTCTGTCCCAGGGAGCTCCTGGGCCCCCAAAGGAGTCTGCACTCCTAAGTGCCTTGGAGGGAGTCACCATCTGCAGGCCCAGGGAGGAGTTAAAGAGAGAAGGGAAGGCTGTTCCCTGAGTCCCAGAGAGGTAGTGAGGCTGGCAGGGGGGTGGGGTTGGAGGAAGCAGTAGCCCTGAGCCCCCTTGCTGTGCCCCAGCGCACCCACCATCAACACCCTCCACCTCCCCAGACAGGGCCAGAGTGAGAGATGACCCCTCAGGGGCAGTGCAGGCAAGAAAGAACTACCTCTACGATGTCTAATAACTGACAACTCACCCCAGCCTGTGGCAGGAAAGCACCCTCAGCAGACAGAAGGAGCTGGGCTCTGCCCCTCCTGACCAGGTGTCCTTTCTACCTGGGGGCCCTGGAAGCACCGTGGTGAGGGTTGCACCCTCGAGATGGTCCCCACGTTGAGGGTGGAGAGTTGGCTGGGGCGGGGGTATACAGTCAGCCCCACCCCTCTCGCGTGGATCACCTGCCTGGAAAGGGCAGGGTCTGGAGCTGGGGAGCTGGGTAGACCTCAGCCGGTAACAGCCTCTCCACTCCCAACACTGCAGCACTCTGGAAAATCGGCTGTTTCCATGGCAACCGTAATACCCAGGGTCCTCCCTCCCCACTCCACTCACCAGCTACACATCTGAATTTGTGGGGTGGGGACGCCAGGAGAACTGAGAGGCTGACCTTCCTCCACACATATACCTGTCCCTTGCCTCCCTGATCAGAGGCTGCAACCTCTTCACCCCTGGACTCCAGGGCCTCCCAGTCAAAAGAGGGTGTTATGGGGTTTCTTGGTCCTTCAGACCAGGGAAAGAAACCCCATCTACCTGGAGCCTACCCCATGTCCCCCAGGTCTAGGGCAAAAGGAGACCCTTTCTCCTGGCTTTCCCACTTCCATCACAGACAGCCCATCACCACGGACAGAGCCCTGTCTGTTCCCAGAGAGGGCTGGAGGAGCAGCAGGCCTGATGCCCCAATGGGCAGTGAGCCGGGAGGAATCACAGGCACGTGCCAACGGCCCAAACCCGAAGCCCCGCAGCAGACACATCCCCAGTGACGCACGCCCAGACCCCACACCCACACACAAGCAACGACGCACCCAGCTGCACACAAAGACCCAGCTTGGAGAGGCAGACCCCCGACAGGAGATGAAGCAGCGGGGAAACATGGCGGTAAACGCACAAAGGCCATAGCCGGAGGCGCAAGGGCTGGGGCCGGCGCTGCACGGGACAGGGCGCAGGCGTCCCCGCCCCCAAGGCCCACGGTGCACAGGTTGCAGGCCGCCCTCCCCAGCCTCCCCACTCCCAAGCCCAGGCCTCCCCCGGGATTTATTGCCCGGCTGTTCTCACACTGCAGCCAGTTTATTACATAGCTGGGCGGGCCTGTTAAAGCCTAAGGGCGTTTATTACACTGTGGGGGGACCAGGGCGGAGAGACACTCCTTGGGCAGAAGAGGTGAAGGATGAATGGTTTATTGGACTGGGACGGCAGTAATTACCCTGGGGAGACGTTTCTCTCCCCAGCACCGCGGCTCCGCCCGCGGGCGCAGAGGGCTCGCGTTGGGGAGGACGTCTGGGCGGAGGAGGCGGGGCTTCCGCAGGTCCCTCTCCCCGCCGCGCAGCAGAGGCTCCTCCCGCCTCTCACCCAGGCAAGCTGTCCTCTGCCCTGCCCACCGATTTCCCCAGGTAAGGCACGGCCTGCTTTCCTCGAGGCCTGGAATCCAGGATACACCACATCTACAACCTCTGGCAGGCTCCAGAAAGGGTTGGTAATCGAAAGGGGCCTAAGCCAAGGCCCAAAATGTTGCCCAAGGGTGGTCTAGACTAATAGTTTTTGACCTCCTTAGGAAAACGCTAGTGAAATGAATTGTGCGTAATATTTCAGGGAGTACTACACCCTTGAAGCCCAGGGCAAGCGATCCTCTGGCCAGACACAAGATGCCACAGGCCCACCACCGAAAAGCCCAAGGTTGGCACCTTCTGTTCACACCCAAGATAGTCTGTCTCCTCGATGCCTCCTAGACCCAGAAATTTGCTGATCAACTCAAACGCTCTAAATGATCAAGAATCTTCCATATAGTCCCACACACCTGCATTCTAGGAAAAAATACCAACCAACCATTAAAACAACATGATCACCCCATGTAGAAAGCCACCATAGAGTGATGCCCCTGTGACTGACTACACATGCAAACCCTCTGTCTGCCTGTGTCCCTGCAGCATCAGAAGCCATGACAAAAGCCTTCTGGAAGGTCTAAACTTGTGAGAGGATAAAATATCCTGCACAATCCAGAAAAACCTTGTTTCTAGGTGCTCATAGTTCACACCAGCTCTTTGTATATGGACCTTCACAATCCATAGCGGGAGATCTCTACAGGTCCAGATTCCTGAGTTCAGCTCTCTCTTGATCTAGAATCCCAGAACACATCCTCTCAATTCTTAACCCCATGATCCAAATTAACATATCCGTGTTCAGAATCAAAATAAATCTAGTCCCTTTTATAAGCTGGAGTGGTAAATCCAGAATCCCTGAAGGCAACTTACTAATAACTGAGCTAGGATTGACCACTTCATTCCTGGCTCCAGAGGGTACCATAAATGAAAGTTGGGGCTGGGAAGATCCTCAAGGACTCTGAAACCAGAATTAAGGGTCAAGGACCAGGAGAGTGTCACCCCCTCAGCCCATTTTTAGGACCCAGATATGCTGGTCCTCCCATGCCCCAGACAGACATCAGGTGCAGGAGTGTCAATGGGTGTCTGGCAGGTCGGTAGGGACATTATGTAACAGGAGGGGTTGGGGGATGGAAGGGTAGATGGGGGAAAGTGTGAAGAGGAGGGAGGGAAAGCAAGTAGAAATACAGCAAGACCCCAAAAGAAGGGGACTGGAGATGCAGGTGCAGAAAGAGAGGCTTCCTCACAATGTGGGATGCTAGGAAGACACTGGGGCAGAGAGGAAACCTGTCCTAGAAAGTCCTCCTGAGCTGGCCTGTTCCTCCAGCCAAGCATGGGTTCCCAAGAGGAGCCTGTCCTTTTGCCCTCTCCCCCATGGTTAAGGTAAGCAGAGGTGGGGTTCAGCCATGACAGGTGGTCTCCTTTCTTTTCTATCTTCCCTTGGACCCTCCTCCTTCCTCTCAGCTGCCCCTCCCTTCAAAGGCTCCTCACCCCACCTCCCACCACCTTCCATCCCTGTTCTGCAGCACCCTCTAGCTCTTCCTCTTCCTCCTCTGCACAGCAAGCGATGGGGTGGCCATCTCAGAGGCAATCCTAGCACCAGTATTCCATATGTCATCCCCCTGCCCCCATGCTCTTCTTTCCCTCTGCCCAGCTCTTGCTCCTTTGTGGAACCTTCCTCAGGTGCTCCAGTCCCCAGGCCCTCTTCCAATCTGCTGAGCACCCCTGAGCCAGCTCCTCTCTCCTGTGCCTTCCTCTTTGACCTCCCCTCCTCTTTACCCCACAAAGCTCTCCCCCAATAAAGCTGGCTCCCCTTTCCTATCTCACCCCTTCACGCC